TTTGGGCGTTGGTTTTATATGACACTGTAGTATATAGAGATGGTGCTATGAGTCTGCAAAGCTCCTTCCACTACTCCTCCCACAGAGAAAGCAAGACTTGAAAAAACAAGTGTGATAATTTTCAGTATGGGTCCCTCAGTTTGTTAACTTTTTTTTTTTTTTTTTTTTTTTTTAAATCCTTAGGTGTCATCTCAGATAGGAAGCAATTCTATAATCAGTATTTTCAAACACTCACTGGAAACTGTTATGCCTCAAGATAGCTCTGCTTCCAGAAAACCAAATCTGCTGCAGTTCCCAAACATCAGCAATCCACAAGATGTCCCCAGTGCTCAAAACAGAGCCACTTAAAATCATTAGGTGTGTTAGGAATGGTGAGAGCGTCTTGTTGGCACTTCTTCATTGCAGCAATTGTTAAGTTTAATTAAAGGACATCAAAGCAACTTTTTCACACTTTATCTTGATATGTGGTTACTATAGGTTCCCACAGAAGGGGAAAGATCTGCAAATCTTCTAGAATAGAGGTAAGGTCTCTACAATATAGCTGGTTGGTACCTCATAGTCACCCATCACTTGCTCACTCTCACTTTCAAGAGTGCAAGGACGACAACCTTTCTCTTTTCAAGTCTTACTGTCTCTTAATTTAGCACAGTCCTGCCTGGCTTTTAACAGTCCTGCCTGGGATTTTAACAAAAATGATCAATGAGTAATTTTATCTATGGTGTCTTTGCATATTGAGAATACTGTTATACTTGGTCGCCCCATTAAATAAGGAATGACCAGATGGACAATTCTCTGTCTCTCCTGGGCAGGGTACATCTAATTAAAAGCAGTTCCCTCCTTCTACTCCTTCTCCATACTATATATATCATCCAGATGTCAGCACTGGTAATTTCAGCAAAAGTTCACCAAAATTTGGTTTAAAAATGTTGTTGTTCTGTGTTTTTTCCCCATCAGGGGAGGCAGAGAGCCAAAGTTCCAAACTGAGCAAAATAAAACTAGTAGACCAGTTTTGTTTCTGTTTCAGTAGCATGTGCTAGGGTATATAATGTATGTTTCCTTCTTCACAAAGGAAAGAATGAACCTATATGACTGATGAAATGAAGATATCAAAGCACTACTTGCCCCAGCTGATATGCATACTTCACATATAATTACTATTTAATATCCTTGTTTCCTACAAACCAGAAAAAAAGCTTACTCCCTCTCCCAATTCCCTCCGCTTGTAAATAGGCTGATGCAGAATCTTCTAGATTTGCAGTTTCTACTTGACTTTCTTCTTGAATTTATTCCCTTCTTTGCAAAGTAATGTGGTCTGCAAAATTAAGCTATTTAAAATCTTAAATGGATAAGTGTTATAAAAATTATAAATTAGTATACAAGACTGACTTGCACAAAACATATGTTATACTCTGAAATATATTTAGACAGGAGTGTGTAATTGCCTGTTCCTTTTCTAATGGCCTGAAGCGCACAGCACTAAATCTGAACTTTTCCCAAAGTATATGCAGCCACGGAGCGCCACCCCCTCCTGGCTCCTTACTGAGTTTAGGTGCCCATCACCCTACATGTGCTTTCTGCAGGAGTGATGACCAGCTGCAGCAGGTTCAGTAACTCTCAAGTCCCCCTTGACCACAGGAATTAAATACCAGTGAACAGCCATCATGGATGGGAAGATGGAAGAGGGCAGTGGAAGTGCCAGTCAGGGCAAAGGGCGGCAAGCCTAGACCAGTTCCCTATGGGTGGGAGTGTAGGTCCTGCCACACCAGCCTCCCACCTGAGCTCAAAACACACGTTAGTCCTTGTATCTCCCCATGTTTAGCTCTCTCATGGGCTCTCTACTGGAATAAGCCTTAATGCTTCTTGTCCTGCCCAGCCTTCCCCCACCCTCAGCAGTGGCCCAGGACACCTAAGAAAGACATGGACCTATTGGACAGAGTCCAGAGAAGGGTTATGAAGATGATCAGAGGGCTGGAGCACCCCTCCTATAAAGACAGGCTGAGAGAGTTCAGGTTTTTCAGCCTGGAGAAGAGAAGGGGGAGACCTTATGGTGGCCTTCCAGTGCCTGAAGGGGCCTACAGGAAAGCTGAGGAGGGACTTTTTTAAAGAGCATTTAGTGGCAGGATGAGGGGGAGCATTTTCAAATTGAAAGAGGGTAGATTTAGATACGAAGACATTATTTAGTGTGAGAATGGTGAGATACTGGAAAAGGTTGCCCAGAGAAGTGGATGCCCCCTCCCTGGAAGCGTTCAAGGGCAGGTTGGATGGGGCTTTCAGAAACCTGATCCAATGGGAAGTGTCCCCACCAACAGCAGGGCGGTTGGAACTAAATGACCTATAAGGTCCTTTCCAATCCAACCCTTCTATGACTCTATGACCTCTCATGGCCTCCATCACCTCCCTGAGTTATGTGGCAGAAGTGCTGATCTCAAGCCCTGCCTCTGCCTCAGACTTGCACAGTTGGTAGCTGTCTCCTGGATGGGCCCCTTGTTCATGCCTTATCATATGTCTCCAGCCTGGTCCCCTTTTGCTCCTGATGGGACAAACAGGCCAGGTTCATCCCCTCGTATCACCTAGGACTGTCAACAGACCAATACCTGGCTGCTAATAGTAGCTTCCGTAGGAGAAGTGAGAGATGAGGCTCCAGGTCACGTTGGGGTCCCACAACCACAAAAAATATTAATACAACTCACTTGAGTCACAGAGAAATTAACAAAGAAAACAAGTCACCTTTTGACACTGAATCTTCCACTTAATCCTTAAAAACCCTTCAACACAAAACCAGAATCATCTTTATTTGAATGCATTCACATATTCTGTTACATTTGCTCTTATTTTTTTCTTGCCCCCAAAAAATTACAGGTTTCAGCAGAAAAAGTTGAAATTCTTTTCCAATCCAGCTTATCCCAAAACACTGGTTGGCTTGGAGTTGCACAGTATTTCACTTCCATGTGTTCATAATGTTCATGGAAAAGGGAAGCAGCTAGCTTTGACTTTCCAGGAAGTCAAACCTCTCCCTCTGCAAATGGAACCTCCACCCCTCTGAAGCAAAAAAACTAGCAGCAGCCCATGTGCACACCAAAACAAAGGGGGACCACCAAGAAGTATAAACAATTCCACCTGTTGAGTTCCTTAATTGACATGTGCCTCCTGTGGAAACAGTAACATTGTTCTCGGAGGTACTCACAGTAAATAGTTAGGTGGCAAAGTTGGACCCCAGTTAATTTTATGGAACTACACAGAGTCCTTCACTTAGAAACTAAGAAGTGTCCAAAAGAATAGCTACTACCTTTGCCCTAAATATCCAAAAGACGACCAACAACCACAAAAGTGTACTTTGAAAGTGAGGTGAATCATTCTGAGAAGAAAGTACTGAAATACAATCTAACATTTATATGGCTAGAGACGAACAGAAGCAAAATCCAGTGTGTGGCTGCTGGGAGGGCGTGGCAGAGGCTCAAGCTGGCAAGCACCTGGTGGGAGCTGACTTCATTTAATGGGCTTTGTATTTCTGAAAGCTAACCAGCAGAATTTTCCTCCAAATACACAAACAGGCACTGGATTTTTCCTTCAAGAAACTGGCAGTGAAATCAGAAGAAAAACCCCTGGCAAAAAGGGCCACTTTCCAGGAAAACAAATTTGTGAAAACAAAGTCACAGCTCAGCCTCTTTTTCTGCCTAGTGTTGCAAACCAGCAAAAGGCTGAGAGCCTTAGATAAACTACTTTCTGGGAAATTAAGGCCCATTTTTAATATTTAGCACTGCATATAGGAATTTTCTTTATCTATATATTGTTTCTCTGTTTTTTTTCTCCCCTTTCCTGTCTGCCTAAGGTGTTTTGTAGAGCACAAGTGATTCAGGTGGTATAACCAGATAAATAACCAAGATATTATCTTTATGAAACACAGATCTCTTTGTAATAAATGTACCTTGTAGCTTGATTTACAGCAAAATCCTCCTCCTCTTACTTCCCTGATGAGACCTACTTAAGTCAGTGAGACTAGTCATGATGATAAGATAATTAAGTTTTTAGTACAACTCTGGTTAGTGAGCAGAATGCAGTTCTGAAATAATGAATCTACCAGCTCCAGTCTGATATTCAAAAGGTGTTGATAATTTCAGTATAAGTCTTAATGTGCTCTGAGAAAAGTACTTTTTTATATTAAAGCTGCAAACCCTGTATAGGACACAATTCAAATAATCTTTCAAATTACGAATTGCTTTTAGAATGGCAAAGTTGAGTTCAACCAGCATAGCAGTGACACCTGCAAACTGACAGTCAACCCTTCAATATTAAAATGGAAAGATTTGCATGAATGTGTTTTAAAATGACAGGAGACAGGAATGGGAGCTTCTAAGCAAGTTAGACTAAAATTTTAAGAGTGAAATGCCTAAAAATAGGCCCCTGAATGCATAGTTAGGCACCTATGTAGAGGCTGCTTGATTTTCAGTTGTTCTGATCACCCAGAGCTCCCATTAACTTCAGGAGCAACTGTGGATACTCAGCTGTTCCAGAAATCAAGCTACCTTTATTCAAGGGTCTAAATATGGATGTCTGTGCCCAAGTTTGGGGGAAAAAACATGTACAAGAAAAAAAAAAAGTTTTTTTACTACAGAGACATTTTATAAAAGAAAGTAATAGCCAACTTCCATTTTCCCAGGTTACAATGCTTGAAACTGAATCAACATAACAATTAATAGTGCAACACATCTGTGGCAGAAGATTTTTTCTGAGGTGAATGGAAAGCTATTCCAAGATCTGTAGCTCTTAATTAATGATCTGAAACATTCCACAGATATTTCATATTCTGTGACTGCAAAGTGTTACCAGGCCACCTAAATCTTTTTCATAGTATTCGACAGTTGCCATTAATAAGTTTTTCAGGCTGGTCTGAGAAAAGACTTTGCAAGATTAACTTAGCAAATCTGTAAGTATTAACTATTTAACTATTTCAGAATTAGCATTTTTTCTGCTTTTGAATCAAGTACAACCAGCAGACTTGAGCATATTTTTAAATACTATAAAATATGCAGAAAGGAGAATTAGGCCTTTAATTCTATCATATGCACTTGGTTGTCAGAAGAATTCTGAATGCTGTTTGCTTAAAGACCCCTCTTATGAAAGTAATGCTTAGTTGATTTTGTGTCTAAGCCATTGCCAGGTCTTGTGGAAGTGCGTAAGAGCCAGTCACATGATAGAAAATCTGCAAGAAAAAAAGCAAATTTATGATGGAATTATATATGACTATAAATCTGAAAGTGTCAAGGAAGTAACAAATTAAAGGCATGCCAGCTGAACGTGATGGATATTTGTTTGTATGTGTGCATATTCATAAAATAGCATGTATATATACTTTATATACTTGTATATAGGATCTGAATCAAGGGCTTTTGCTGGTTTGTTTGGAAAAAAAGAAAAAAGCAAAGAGTCTTGTCTAAGCTTCCTCTTTCCTTTTTCTTTTCCTTTTCTTTTTCCTTTTCTTTTTCTTTCTTTTTTTCTCTTTCTTTTAACTAAGCTTTCAAAAAGAGTCTCTCACCCATATTCTGCTTTTATCTTCCCATAGGAAGGCAGTGGGGTGATAATAGAGAACATCTGTCACAAAGTGATAGACTATATCTGTGGCAATGGCACAGTATAACAAAGCTTTGGTCACGACTGAGGCATTTGTGCAATCCCTGGCATATAACAGGATGCCACCCTTAAGAAATCAGAACAAATTGTGATATGTTATAAGACTCAGCAGTGATGGCAGTGGCCACAATGAAGCCCATGCTGCTTTTTGATAACCAGGAACATGATTTTAGGTTGAGAGTGAGGCAGAGACCATCTGGCAATGAAGCAAGCCAATGTTATTCTCATTGCAGGAGTGAGCCAGGGTTTTTCAACAGTCAGAAATAGTCACCTGACATCTCTCAGCTGTTCCATATTTCAAAAGACATGTCAGTATTTCAGTTTCTAGAAAAGGTGGGGAAAGGGATGCTTTTTTCCTCCCCCCCTGTCTCCCGTATCTCATGTTCTCCCATAAGCAGCAACAGCACAAGGACTCTCAAACTCTTCCCTTGGTTAAATCTAACATCACCTCCTCTCTCAGGTTTAGTAAACATGGAATGAAGTTCAGCAACGGTTTAGTAGTTCCTATGACACTATGCTGTTCTCAACTATGGTGTATCTTTTGTGGTTGACACCCTGGTAGGTCATGGGTAGACAAGTCATAACCCTTCCTCCCACCAGGAACTTGAACATTGCAACTGCACCTCATACACTATTTGTCTGTCAGGAAACACAGCAACCAGCTTGCACAAAAATAAAAGCAATTAGAAAAATGAGGCTTTGTAGGAGGCAACTGCTTTTCTTCCCCAGGAAATAATCAATATGTAAAAAATACACTATCAGCAGTACCACGTGTAGGATGAGACTCTACTATCTCCACAGCATGAAAATATATCGTGAACAGTTGTGGCACAGTGACACAAAGGGTCTGTGAGATGTTTTGAAGGGTCAGCTGAACTAGGAGTACAGGGAAGTGCACTACCATGCATTTGCAAAATACACTGTGTATGTATGAACTGGGCCTCTTCACTCATTGCATTGCATACCTGGCCCAGGCAATTGCCAGCTGCTAGAGTACCAGTGCCAGATGTCTGTAATGACAGGTCAAATTTAAAGAAATACTGGGCCGGAAGTGGACCTGTTGTTAATAATGAATTAGACATATGTTCTATTATCATTTAAAGAGCACCAAAAAGCATAATCTGCAAAAACAGTAAGGCAGCACATTTAGAAAGATTACTTCTGTCTCCCAAGATGAAAACTAACCTGTTTCTCAATATCTTCCAGCAAACTACTGGCACCTAGGCGAAAGAGCTCTGGTGTTAGCCATTCCACTCCCAGTTCATTCTTCACCAGCATAAGCCAAGTAATGGCTTCTTTTGCTGTCCGAATGCCCCCAGCAGGTTTAAATCCAACCTTTAGACGGGAAAAAAAAAAGAAGTGCAATACACATTTTCATTCATGAGCAACCCTAGAGGAGCAATCAGCATTTGTACCCCTGCAGTCTCAAAGTGCCTGTGGTGTATGTAACAACTCAGTACGCATTTGACCGCAAACAGTGAAAGCTCTGGACTAAGCCGCAGCTATCACTGCAAAAGAAAACATTTTCATCCCAAGGGACAGAAACTGAGGGAGTAACACTTTTGACCCCAGTGTGCTTCCTCAGCAGCTGGGTGTGAAGTCTAATGGGAGTATTTTGCTCATAGCACATTCTAGGCCAAGGGATTTAGGCAGGATCTTGGATATCTGCATATCACTTACTGCCCATGTTGCAATCTAATTGCAAATATATAGCAATAAATATATATGCAATAACATAAGACTGAAGATGCTGAAACAAAGCATGTGAAGCAACTGGCTTATGTGAAGAGCAGTGAGAGAAAGCTGTACTTTATAAAGCCTGTGCACCACAGTTATACATTACCCGGCTGTACATTCAAACCTATTTTTTGGTTTAATTTTCACTAAAATTTTCCAAGTAGGAATTTAATTAGGACTCTCTTCACCAAAACCTGAAAGCTTTGTGCTTCACAGGAAGTGCAAAACTTCTCTCCTAACACATGCTGGATATGCTTCCAGTCGCTTGATGTGTCATATTTCATCAGGTGAACTGTCATGTATGTAGAGGTAGACACACCAAGACAAACCTGTCTTTGAGATAAAGCATGTCTTCAATCTCATGATCAACTTTCTATGCAGAGCCAGCACTGAGGTGACTTGGCATGCACCCCTAATGCCAGTATTTTGGTTACGTGCCATTTAAATACATCTCATTTTGCGACAGAGCTTGTGACATGCAGCTATCAAATCCCTTGACAAAAATTTTGTCACCTGCATTGGTCACCAAAATGCTGGCCTGCAGAAGCTTACTAAACTTTTGATAAACAAGAACTAGGAAAAAGTGTTTCTGCATTAAAAAAATATAAATAATCCCAACAATCTGCACAGAAGCACACAGTGATTCTTTCAACATAACCTCTGCCAAAAACCTTTACCTTGCATACTCCTTTCCATCAGCCTCCTTCTGCAATAATTATCATTCTGATTTCTGTATATGCATTCCTGAAACCTCACTGCATGGAGGATTTATTTGTAACTTATGGATATAATAGTGGAATCACATTTTTAAATGTGTTTGGTAATTTTGGAGGGTTTTTTTGTGATTTCAAGGCAAACAAACAGAGAATAAATCCTTGTCTCACACTGAAGCATTGTGATAACAGCATATTTCCAATAAGATTATAAAGAACAATAACAGGAAAAGCTTGATAAACCCAAAACATGAATACTGTGTTTTTCTGGATGGATGGTTATGTGAGTGTATGCATACTTCTGTTAACATTAGATTTCCAGAAGGAATTTAAACTACAGCAACTGGAAAAGCATCTTCTAGGCAATAAATTAAAATAGTGGGAATATGTTTTCCCTCAGGAAGAGAAATTATAATGAAATTCAGATTTAGATTTCTTCCTAGAAATACTGCAGCTCTTTGAGATAATCTGTGGCAAAACCAAGTAAAATAATTTAATAAGAGAATTCAAAATACCATGCAGAATTCCTTCCCCTTTCAGCAAATTCTGAAAGCTCTTTTCTTTGCAAAAAAGCTGACAGAGACAAGCCTGTCCTCTCCTTCATTTGCCAGCTTTCCAAATGGCACATCTGACTGCCATAAAAACACAAAAAGGGAGGGGGGGTGGAATTTAATTCAAGAGCAGTACAAAGTCCAGCTACCACTTTCCTGCTGTTTCACAGCATTTCATTATTTTGCTTAATAAGTTCATCTCCTCAAGAATTTTCTCTTCACCTTATATTATTAAAAGTAATAAGTTTTTCTGGATTGGGGGTTTTCCCAACAGAAAAACCAATTTATGTATGTCCTTCAATAATGACAGGAAAAGATTATTTCCCATTATATTGCACACTTTTCATATCTCCACCACAGCTTATCATTCAATAAATGTTAGTCTGCAACTTGTTCCTTTCCTCAAAGAAGTTTAATTTCTGTATTAACCTGTTTTTCCCAGGCAACACCTTGCTAGAAAGGATCCCTACAGCAGCGAAATTAGTTTGTCAAAGAAACCATTTAGAAATCTCTTGTCACTGATAATATTGTCTTCAGTTAATAAAAGCACATACAGTCAGTTTACATCTAATTCACTGAAACACACATGCACACAGACATAGGCACTCATTCTTAATAACACATTTTATACCATGAATGCATCCTTTTAAAGCAAAAGGTGAATTCTACATCTATACCCAATTTCAGGTCCAGAGCTGTGTTGATGCAGCAGAACCCAACCTCTGGCACAAAGCTCGCGTAAGCAGCGCTGGTGCAGAGGGGAGTCACCCTGCCCCACGGATCTGCCTCTGGTTGGCAGCGGTGACAGTGCTCCCACAGAACCAAGCCTGTGGGAGATGCTTGAGTTGTGATGTGGCAGGGAGAGAAGCAGGCTGGGGAAGGGAGGAGAAAGCACAGCCTAGGGACCCATGCTGGCCTCATCCAGATGACTACAGAGAGCAGATGGACACGTCTAACTGGCTGTCACATGCTCCTCAAACTCCAACAGCCCCTGAAGCCATCTCAGGCCCTATCCCATGTCCTAACACCATACCTGGAAAGGCCACCTGCATAAAGGGCAGAAGTGTGAGCTGGAAAGGATGGAAGGGTGACCAGGGGTGGGGAGAGGGTCATAGCTAGAGATGTAGTTTCCTTCCCTGAGGCTGCAGGTGAGGACAAAGCCTACTACTGAACGCAAATACCAGATTGGTATATGGTTACTGGCAGCCTCCAGCTGTCTGTGGATAAAGGAGGCAAGAGGTGGCTTAAGCCATCCTGGTTAACCTCCTCCTTTCTCTGGATGGATGCGTGGATAGTTCATCACTGGCTCTGCTGTACACTCAACCTCTTATTTGCCCTGTTATTAACGGCAATGACCATTTAAATACTTTAAACGGTGCAACAAAACTCAAATGCAAGAAGGGGATGCAGCAAGATAGCGTGGGCTTTTAGGGAATGAAGTGACATCTATTCAAGGGAGAAAAGCCAAAAGTACCTTATTTTTTTATATATATACAAACTTTATATATATATTTAATATTTATACACAAATAGTATTCAAATATTTACAAATCAAATGAGGAGTACAAGAGAGAAGTCCCATATAGCCACGGAAGCTAATATATGTTCTGCATTTTTAAACTATTAGTCTTTTTTCCTTCTGAATGAGCCTGCTCGATTTATTTTTATAAAGACATCAAGAATTACCTTGATGCCAGTTTGCCAGTAGAATTCTCTAATCGCTCTCATCATGACCACTCCGACTGGAAAGGTTGCATTTTCAACCTCCTTTCCTGTAGACGTCTTTATAAAATCAGAACCTGAAAGGAAGCAAAAAGATTTAGCATAGTTTTAGAACAAGACCCACTTTGCATATGCATAGTTCACAGCCTCCAAAGATGTCCCCATGCCCTCATGCCCTCATGCTTCACAGCAGTTACAAAGCATTCCTCTACACATACGTCTCTGTGGTGTTGGTATTAACCTTGCTCTGGTTGAGGCTGGAGTAGGAAGATGACACACATCCAGTTTCAGAGCAAGTCAGACATCACAGTGGCTAAATTAACATCATGGCTCTTTATTCTTTGCTGTAGCTACCTGACCAATCTCTTCAGGGCAGTCCAATATATTATATGTTCCTGTACAGACACTCAATGTAGGCATATATATACACTTTAACAGGAATGTGTCTGACTAGTCACAACAATGGAAATTATTTCCTCCAAACAAATTTTAGTCTTTCCACAAGGATCATTCAAATAGAAAGAGTCTTCATCAGTTTATTTAGTTTAATTTTTAGTCTCACATTTGACAGGCTAGTACTGTTATCTCCCACTACTGTTGAAAATGAAATAAATCATAGAATCATAGAATCCTAGGGGTTGGAAGCGACCTCGAAAGATCATCTAGTCCAACCCCCCTCGTGTATTTATGAAAGCAGCTGTGTAATACTGTAAACAGGGAAAAAACTCCCTTCTTAGGCATTCTGCAATTGTGACATTGCAAATTACCATACTTAAAGCCATAGTCTGATACAAAGTAGTAAGAAGGTCGAAACATCTGTGATATTCAAAGGTGAATCAGCATTAGCTTTTTTTTTTCCTGGTTTCTTAGTTGTAAACAATATTCTCTACTGCATGTCCTGAATACTTGTGTAGTGTTCTTGTGCATTTTTGCTGGTTTGGGTTGGCTTAAAAAGAATCCTGCAACACAATGCAACAAAAAGCTAAGGAACTAACAAAAAAAAATTGTCTTGCAGTGCATGATCTTGCATGGACACAATACAATGACAAAACTTTAATTGCATTAGGATGTACTTCATCCCTGGGAAGCTACTTCTTAGAAAAGGTGTGCTGTGGGATCATTAATTATCAAAAGTAATCGGGAGAAGAAGAGGGATAATTCAAACATCATGTAGTAGTGCATCAGCCACTTAAGTCAATTGGAACTGCATCTGCTTCCACTTCAAATTTGGCTTAGGGTCCATTTTGTCTCTTACTGGAACGATGATGCCTCTACAACATCCCCTAGAGTAAGAAAGGAAAGTTTCACTACTAGCTCAAACTGAAGAGTTGCCTAGACTACATTTTGACAGTGTGCTGCAGCACACTCCAGAGACCCATCTTCCTGATGACACAGCTGACTGGCACACAGCCTGGTCTCAGCCTGATGGGAAGTTACGACAAAGCCAGGCATGTTTCTGTGTCCTGTGATTTAAACATAATCAAATGGTATCACTAACATTGTGTCTTGTAAGACAGTGGTTTTCTCTGTAGACTTCCTGTCTAGGCACTAACTCAGCCCAGTGGCAATTTAATTGCACCCTCCTATGGCAATTCCCATTCTAAAGAGAAACAGTTACTTGCAAAAAACTCCTAACTCTAAAGGAAGGGCAATGTGCAAAAGAGGCAATTAATAGTTGATTGAGCTTTGCAAGGAACAGAGCACATAGGAGAGACAATTGTGTTACATATTTCAGAGCTACTCCCTTCCAGAGAGATCCTATGGGCATCTGAGAGTCGCATTAAAACAAGTAACAGTAGAAGTGAAACTTCAACATTGCCAAATTATATTTTTAATTTCCCTTTCGAAATGTAGCACTTAAAAAGTCCTTCAGTGCAATACTTCCCATTTTTTCTAGTATAAGGTAAGTCAAAGCTTTTATAAGTCTTATAATTACAAGTCTCTATGGTACAGTTTCATTAAAAACTTTCATTAAACAACAGCTGCCCTTGTATATGGTCTTCTAATCAATTTGGTCAAACAGAATGACTTCTAATCAGCTGTTGATAAAAATAGAAGATGAAATTTTAATTCTAATAGATTAACCACAAACTCAAGATAGTCTTCAAAATCCATCTAGCTCTATTCTCCAGTGGATTTAACGACTATTCAGCAACTCATTACTAAATAGAACAAGATGAACATTTTCCAGTTCATTAAAGAAATGTACTATGTATTTTTGCATTGTCCTCATGATTCGTTACAGGGAGTCTTAATTACAAGATAATGGATAATGGTTATTAAATGCAGACTCCAGTAATGAAGCTCTATTCATTTGCGAGCCTCAGAGACTGCAATGAGGGGAAAATAAAATTACTAGCTTCAAAAGATTAACGGATCAAATTATTATTCAATTTTGAAAATCTCATTCAGACTTCATAGAAACAAGAAGAGATTAAAAACTAGTATTAGTACAAAAGTAGTGCATTTATATATTTATTTTTAAATAATATCTTAAGGCTATTACCAGAATAATCAGCTTTAGATGTGATTATTAGACAAACATACAGCCAATTTAGTAGCATCCTCTAACAATGAAAACAATACATTTTTATTTCCTGAACACATTCTATTTATGACACGAGCTTGCTACCAGGATTGCACGCAGCCTCCCGCAGAAGACAGAAAATGCACACTAGCAGAGAATGCCACAATGGAAGGTGCTACTAACATTCAGATTTCAGGAATGGAAAAGGGGATTCAAAAATCAACCACTGCTGTAAAAAGCACCTCATTAGAGTGTATGCCAACCTTGTAATAATGAAGGAGTTTCACCCAGCCTATTTCTTATTCAAATCTTCAAAAACAAGTCTAAGTAATGAAGGTCAGCAGGAGTTTCATCTGGAAATTTACGTGATAATTTAAAAACAGAGTTTTATTACCCATCTTCTAATTTTGCTACAAATGCATACATTCCAAAAATCAAGGCTAATGTTAAAGTACATGCTGGATTTCTTTCCTTTTCCTTAGAGTAGGTTACATGATTCAATGAAACATTAAAGATTTTTTAAAATTACTTCTTCAGGGAGGATTTCTAAGCCCAGAGAGCCTGGAAAAGGCCACACTTTCTACTCTTTTCCAATGTGTAACCACAACAGCAAAATGCCTTTCAAGGCAGTGAGTCATGTAAGACTCATTGAATCAGTAGAGTGGGGACATCAAAGCTTTCTTGAAACACAGCAGCATCATTAACCTTTTTCAGGCAGGTTTGCTGCCAACCTAGTAACACACCTGCACGTGGCTCATTACAGCACCACAGCCTGGCAAGCACAAACTGCATTGTCTTAATTTAACCAGAGATGGAAATCTGAGTAAACCCTACGAAATGTGAACAGTGCTGCAGCCTGTTTGAGAGGCTCTCTCTGGTCAAAACCAACTGAGCTCTCAGTGCCATTGGGAGCCAGACCACTTGGGCTGCAGTCACACATCTTGTGAAATCCAGTACAGTATTTTGAAATCACATAGAGTATCTTGGGATAACATCCTGGAGGGAGGAGGGACCCATGAAAGCTGGCTGATATTTAAGGATCACCTTCTCCAGGCCCAAGAGTGTTGCATCCCAACTAAGAGGAAGTCAAGTAGCAACTTGAGCCAAGAGGCCGGCATGGATGAGCAAGCAGCTCCTAGAAAAGCTTAAACTTAAGAAGGAAGTTTACATGGGGTGGAAGCTGGGGCAGGTATCCTGAGAGGATTACAGAGAGGTTGTCCGAGCAGCTAGGGATCAGGTTAGGAAAGCCAAATCCCTCCTAGAATTAAATCTCACCAGGGATATTAAAAACAGTAAGAAAAGATTCTTTAGGTATGTTGGAGCGAAAAGGACAACCAAAGAGAGTGTAGGCCCTCTCCTGAAAGAAATGGGTAAGATAGTAACACAGGCTATTGAGAAGGCCGAGGTCCTCAGTGACTTCTTTGCTTCAGTCTTCTCTGGTGAGTGCTCCAACCTCAACACAAAGGCCACAACAGGTGAAAGCAGGGACTGGGAGAGTGAATTACCCCCCAATGTTGGAGTACAGCAGGTTCTCGACTATCTAAAGAACCTGAAGGTGCATAAATCTATGGGACCTGATGGGATTCACCCATGGGTCCTGAGGGAGCTGGCGGATGCAATTGCTAAGCCTCTGTCCATCATATTTGACAGGTCATGGCAGTCTGGTGAGGTTCTCACTGATTAGAAAAAAGGGAACATAGGCCCTGTTTTTAAAAAGGGGGAAAAGGAAGACCCAGGGAACTACAGGCCCATCAGTCTCACCTCTGTGCCCAGCAAGATCATGGAGCAGATCCTCCTGGAAAGTCTTCTAAGGCACATGGAAAATAAAGAGGTGATTGGTGACAGCCAGCATGGCTTCACTAAGGGCAAGTCATGCCTGACCAATCTGGTGGCCTTCTACAACAAGGCTACAGAGATGGTGGATGGTGGCAGAGCAACTGACATCATCTACCTGGATTTGTGCAGGGCATTTGACACTGTCCCACACAACATCCTGGTCTCCAAACTGACAAGACATGGATTTGACAGATGGACCACTTGGTCCTAGAGTGCTGTGTGCAGCTGGATGGTTGCATCCAGAGAGTTGTGGTCAATGGCTCAATGTCCAAATGGAGGCAGGTGACAAGTGGTGTCCCTCAGGAGTCA